AACAAAAAATAAATGACAAAAGTTCTGTACTGAATAGCTCAAGACATTAGAGGATATGATAGCAGAAAGAGTGCTAACTTTTCAGAATCAAAATTATCCACTCCCAAATCTTCGTCCCAGATAAATATGTAATCATATGGTGCCACAATGTCAGGATGTAGAAATCGTTTTGCATATCACCTTTAACCATACAATGAAAGAACAGATCAGTATGATAAAATTGATAATTAATCTGACCCAATTGCCTTAAAACAAGAGTACTAACCATTTCGTCTGTTTTCGAGCACTGACATGGATAGCACGTTTTGACCACTCAAACTGATCCCACTAGTCGTCTTACCATCGTAATGGAAGAGCAGAATAGTGAAGTTGTCTGAGAACTGTGCAAGGATAAAAGAGCATATAATTAATACAAAGATGATGTTAGCAGTAATAAAGGACTTGAAATTGCTAGAAAGAAACCTTTTTAACTGCTTTGTCAATATTTTCTTTCATATCTAAGCCAATTGTGAAGGTCACTAGATACTTAGGCTTGGTTTTCAGATCCTGCAGAAGCCATTTTGAACCAGTATTATATTCAAACTTCAAAATTCTATTATCAAAATGAATAAAACTCAGTCTTTGTGCTGATAATGCAATTTATCAAGAAACCTTAAAAGTACATAAATAAATGTTTAAAATTACAGTTCCCTTGCTTATTTTTTTTCCTTTACATCATTACTCAGACCCCTATTAACCCGAAAGTGTAATGTGGGAAACAGAGTAAAGACTTTTGTCTAACTAGTATCAAGGATAGTGATTAAAAGAGGAGGTTCTACATAACAGAAGACAGTTTAAAATTAAGGTGTATGTGAGAAGAAATTTCAAAGACTTGTTATAGTATGTTCACATACCTCACTAGGAAGACCCCATAGTCTACGGAGATAGAGATCTGACTTAGAAGCAAATATCCCTGGCGGTAGTCTCTCTGCACCGCTAGGGTTTGATTGGGCCAGCAATGGCACCTGAGAATCCACAACAATCAAACAACAAATATTATTAAGTGATGAGAACCTTGGAAGACTAGTCCCATGCATCAGACCAGAAAAGCCTTAAAAGAAATACATACATGATGCCTGATCTTGCAATGAGTAACAGATGTAAAATATATGTCAGCAATCAGCATGAAGAATTTTTATAAAATGATTAAAGTGGCAACTCGCAAGGGCTACAACTACATATACAAAGTGTGTTGATTGAAAAGTTTCAACAATATAACTGTTTGCTTGTGGTAAAGTTGGGTTCAGAGTTACAGAATCATGCAGGAATACAACAGTTTTATATGAATGAAGTTGCCTAACATATTTTATTAACATGATAAAATTACATGAAAAGACTGCAGTGTAACAGAAAAAGAAAAAGACTGGTGTGCATGTACAATAGCAAATTATGATTACCGGAGAAACAAAGAAGTTGAAGGAGATGATAAGCCCCCCTTCCCATCCAATAATCTCAGCAATAAGCCTACTAAATTCGGCAATTCGGCACTCCTCCTATATTTAGACTATCCATCAATCATCATTCTATCATTTGTTCATTCTTCATTATCAACTAAAAATTAATTGAAAATAAATTAAAATTCCTCTCTTTCTTCTAATTTCAAATAATCAACAATAAATAAAAACAAGAAAATCACAATTTCTGACAAACTCGAAATTTTAATTTCAACAGAAATGAACACAAATTAAGAACAAAATTAAAGAACTTAAACACAAATTAAGCACAAAATCAAATTACCTTCTCATTAAGAGAGCATTTGGACTGAACATACGACTAAGGATCAAACCTATCATTCCGAAACGCGTTTGAGTTGATTTTTTGCTCGAAATGGGGGATTTTTGGTCGGAAACAATCAATTTTTCTGGGTTTAAGGGTTCGAATTTCTTGGGGTTTTTGGTCTAAATTTTTTCTCGAAATTGCTCGGATTTGCTTCAACTTGACTGCAATTTTAATTTAGATGTTAAATTTGCTGGGGAATCGCAGTTTTTTGGCCTAATTTGTTGGGTTTCAGAGACGAATTTGTGGGTGTTTTGCTGTAGAAATTCACTGGAATTGAAGAACTCTTGTTTTTTTTCTTTTTGATTAGTGAATGTAGGCGAAGGTAAAAAAACGCAGAAAACCTAAAGCCAAAAGAGTTATTTGCGTCACTTTATTATAAAAAAGCGACGCAAATAACCTTGTTTATGATATTGTACACAGCTCATATGCGTCGCTCATGTAGTAAAAGCGTGACACAATTTACTTAATCACTTATTTGCGTCGCTTGTTAACAAATGAGTGACGCAAATAAGTTTATTAATTGTGTCGCTTTAATAAATAAGAGCGACGCAAATGAGAGAAAGCTAAAATGCACTTGAGTTTTGCGTCGCTTCTTGAATAACATGCGACGCAAATAACTTAAAAGGATGGTAAAAATAAACATTTGCTTCGCTCCTTATAATGAGTGACGCAAATATGGCGACGCAAATGTACATTTTTCTACTAGTGATTGAACTGAACTGAACTGATTGGAGCTGAACTGAACTGAATTGAACTGATTGAAGCTGAACTGAACTGAACTGAACTGAAATTAAGTAAATGTGAAAAGGCTCTTATAGAAAATTTAAGCAAAATAATATTATTTAAAAAGATATGCATAATTTTAAATATAATTAGCATAATATCGAATTTTTTTATACTTATTATTAAAAAAATCATAAAAAAATTGTTGAAATAAAAATATTTATAAATTTTGGTAAATCCGTGCATTGCACTGACCATAAGCTAGTTTAACAAATAAAAATAAAAGGAATCTATCAACTAAGAGTACTTCATTTAATAATCTTGAGAAGAATATAATAAGTGGTCCGAATTCCGGAGTACGTTTGACTGGCCAAAATAAGTGAAGTCGAATGTCCTCATTCCATAATCAATAATACTGTAATTAGTACTGTTTCGGGTGTAAACAATGGGATTTTGCCGAAGGTCTATCAAAGTGGGTCGAAGACTGGCTCGGTCCAAGTGATGTTAGGCCAAGGATTTCCTGCACAGCAAACGCACGTAAACTGGCCTCGAGGGTGCGCCGAGGAAGGGCCCTCCGATGCCGAAGTCAGTACAATGTAGAGAGAAAGTGCTATGCAAGAGTATTAATTGCTTGAGGCTATTTGTGAATGAATGCAATGTGGGAGGAGTGAAGGCTTTTATATCTTAGCACAATGAGGAGAATTGGGCTTGAAGCCAAGTGGGCTGACCACATTGACTGACCCTTGACTTGACTTGGCGTGGATTGCAGAATTGGACCCTTGACCTTATTGAATCATTTATGGACGGGCCCAACTAGGCTAAATTGGACCCAAACAACTTGCCCCCCCAAACCCGATTTGGAAGAATGACGGGTCGGGTTTGGATTTAATAAAAAAATAGAGGGAAGTAAATGATTTAATTAAATTAAAAGATTTAAATTTTTAAACATTCATTAAGGAAATAATTGTCATTTGGATAATAATTGAGGAAGTCGAACGGATAATGGTTAGTTAATTTGGAGGGAGTGTTCCAAACTTTTGCGGAAATTAAAAACGTAGAACTAAACAAAGTAATGCAGGGAGATTTACCGTTGAAACTTCTTGCGCCCAACAAGAAGAAAAATCACTACCAATTGGGATTTTAAACTCGACTTCATTAAATAAGGCAACTACTCCGTTACAATCTATCGGAACTGGGCAAAACTTAAGTTCCTCTATGAACCTAAACCAATCCCCAATACAATAATTAACTTTCTACCAAAACTAATTAATTTTATCACTTTTAAAAACTTAATCTTTTTAAAGAAAAACAACTAAATAAATATTTCATTAGTCATTAAACTGGACGTTATTTATTTTTCTTTAAACCAAGTTATATTCCTTTCCACTACATGTTTCATTTAGTCCCATGTGTTCCAATACCTTTCAAGCTTCCACATTTACGTACATGAATCCTAAATATAAACTCATACTTTCTGTCTTCATGCTCTATATTACCTCGCATATTAATTGGTTCCTCCTTCAAAGCTTAATAGTGCTTCGCATATAATTAATCTCATATATAAACTCTTTTAGGAACACTTGACTTGAACTTCTTTATTTTCATCCTTCGATTAATCTGTAGAGTGTTTCATGTAGAGATCAAGGACTCCCCTTGTTCCAACTCTAGTTATGTTCTTTTATCAAGAACTGCCTACAAACCTGTACACTTAACACTCTTACATCAAACCAAAGTGAAGTATACAAATAAAGTTCTAATACTAATTTAAATAATAAATACTTCTTCCGTTGTCTTTTACTTGCAACACTTTCCTAAAAAGGAAATGTCACAATACTTGCAACACACTATAAAAGAAAAGTTACTTTAGGGAAAAACTATATTATTTTCCTTATTTAAAGCACATTACCCGCTAAATTACACTCCTAACAACTACTCATCTCATTTTAAAGTGTATTATATCATGTGACTTCACATTTCTTAAATAACTTGAAAAAGTGTGTATTGTATCTAAAAGAAAACGGAGGAATTAATTAATAAACATTAAACTATTTATTTGTTCCTCCTATAAGGAACTTCTCCTTTGAAGTACCCTCACGGGAACTTCACTGATTGCTGCTCCAACCATATATCTTTATCATGATGTATAAGAATCAATCCTCCATGACTTGTTTAATATGCACATCAATACACAAGTTAGTTTATAAGCATCATTTGTTTATAATCATCAAAACAATATTATCTCAACAATTTGTACTAAATATGCATTTCTCACAGGTGAAATATAAACCGTTAGATTTATTTGAACGAACGAGATTCCTTCTTATTTTTCTCATTTTAAGATCATTCTCATTAAATCTCAACCCCATATATATATATATATATATAACATGTGTCATTTTTTGATATGTCTCTTAGGATTTTTTTTTAATAAAATATTTTACATAAATAACAGAATAAAAAAAAAAGATTTGATGTATCATATGGATTCATATCACAATATATTTATTATACCAAAAACTTAAGTAAAGAAATAAAATCAAATCAAATTCTTAACATAAATTGTTACCTACATACTATTAATTTAACAGCGAACAAAATTCTCCGACGTGTTTTTCTTTGTTCTCTTTCTCAAACGATTTTTTCTCCACTCTTCCTCACAGGTTTTTCTCTCTCCTCACACGACCTCCCATAATCAAACTACGGTACGTTTGTTTCGATTTTTGTTCGCTGTTCTTTGATTTTTTATTTGTTCAATTTTAGTTCAATTTTAGTTCGATTTAGTTCGATTTTTAATCTGTTCGAAGTTGTTCAATTTTTGTATGATTTTGTTGGATTTTTTCAGTTTTTTTGGGTTGATTTTTTCAATTTTTTTTCCCATCGATTTTTCTCTGTTTTTTTTACTCGATTTTTTTTCTATTTTTCCTCCATATTTTCTCGATTTTTTTCAATTCTTTTTCTCAATTTTTTCACTTTTTTAACTCGATTTTTTCAGTGTTTTTTCTCTTGCTTATTATCTGTTTTTTTACTTTTTTTTTTCGATTTTTTCTCCATTTCTTTCTAGATTTTGTAACGATTTTTTTCAGTTTAAGTAGAAATAGAAATAGAAAAGAGTAGTTAAATATTTAATCATGAAGGAAATAACATTGTATAATATTATATCCTAGAAGCTTCTTTGTAGAAGTTGCCACTTGTCCATAGTGGTTTTGGCTTTAGTAATTATGGGGTTAACTAGCCTTTTGACCCGTGCAATGGGTTATTCATAAAAAAAATTAAAAGATGAATAAGCTATTATGGTTATAATGTGTGATCAAAAATATGATTAAGAAATTTAATTTTTGGAATTGTAATTGAAAATGGAGATCAAATAAAGGTGGAGGGGTTAAAATTAAAGAGAGAAAAGCAAAAGGTTGAATTGAAGAGGGGGATGAAGATGAAGTGAATATAGAAGATCAGGCATATAATATTTAAGAAATATAGTGTAATAAAAAATTAATTAATAGTGTAAGGACATGTGGCATTTAGGTTAGAGAAAAAGATTTTGAAGTGCAATAGGATATAGACATGTGTTTCTCTTGGTTATAGTTTTTAAATACTAAGTATAGATTACTTGTAATAGCGAAGGATGTTCATAACCATAACAATGTGTAGATGAACAACAAAACAATGTAAATGAACAATGACCCAAATGATTATAAAGTATACTTTCTTAGAGCAAAACAAAGTGATAATTAATTTTACAATTTTAATTCTATAAAAAGTGTTGTTTTACCGTGTTCATACTATAAAAAGTATTGTTCATTCTAGGCCATATTTTTTTAGTGATGAATAGACTTGTATTATGCTAGGTCACATTTTTGGACTTTGTTTATGAAGTGCACTATACACACTTGTCTATGGTCTTCTGATTATCTTGTAATGGTTTCAGGTTTTTGTTTTTATTGTTTTTTCTTCTTTATATTGAAGGTCTGTTCTCATACGTTGAAGTTCAGTTCAGTTCAGTTCTTAATTTCCTTTTCTTATAAAACATTCATTTCAGTTTTCAGTTCAGTTGAGTTGATTTCAGTCAATGAGAACAGACCCTGACTCTTACTTTATGAAACTCGATGATTGTAACATATATAACTATATAAGGTTCTTGAATCATAATTTTGAGTCATTGATTATACTAATATACTCTCTGGGTATGTTGACTTAAAAATAAGGGGTGCAAGTTAAAAAGAGAGATGTTATAATTAATGAGTTGTTTGTCGACTTACATTGTAGCTTATTCATTCTTTAGATGGTAGCAATGCAAGAGGATAAATATGCTCGGTCTCAAGTTTCTTTCGTGAGGCAAGATCTGGATCCGTCATTTATAACTGGGGGCTGGGATTCACAAGGAACACAATTGTTTGAGTTACTTGCTGTGAGAGTGCACATGCGCCTGATCAAGGAAGTTACCGCTATGTCCTCGCTTTCACATCTTGAAGTATATGGCCGTATTGTACTCATCGATGAACTTGGTAACAAATTTTATCTATTTAAACGAAGAAAATCTAAGGCAAAGTCTGTTTTTCTACGTGATGACGCACATGACAGCACAGTAATTCTTCACAATTTTGATCTTGAAAGTCCTCGTTGTCTACCTAGTAAATTTTGCTTGAAATTTCATCTCAAAGATAAGCACCAAAATATCGTAATTGTTAAGGACTGCAAACTAATAGATTGTACTCAAGGGGTCACTTATGACAGAATCCATACCTTTTGCTTCCGCAGAGAACAAAAGTCGGAACAAGACTCTCATTGCTTACCTTCGATTAGTGTTCATTGTGCACTCTTAGCCTGTGTGTCTATTGAACTTGTAGATACTGCTACTCGTATTGAAGGTAGAAATAATACAACCGATGGAAGTGATTTTGTACCGGCTAAAGTTTTTGGTAGGATTACTTCTACTACTGAGACAAGTGATATGACATGTATTAGACGTTTGCTTTTTGATGAGACAGACAAGTTATTTTTTGAGGCTTCCAATAAGTTATCTACCTTTTCTGTCCCAAGCTATTCCTTGCTGGAGATCCAAGTAAACGTGGAGGTTGAGGGTGAAAGATTTTGCGATACGGTCAAGTTTAAACCATATTCATGGGAAATCATGTTGCATTCGAGTGTTTGCACATTTTGGTCATGCAAGAGATATCCTTTCTGAATATCCAATGTATGAGTATTATGATGGTAAAAGAATGTCCAATGAAAGATCTGAAGATAAAAGGATCAACCGAAAGAGGTCAAGAGGCCTTACAATCCAAAAGGCAAACCAGGTTTGTGCAGCACATATACATTGTTGAATTGTGTACTCTGTTTTGTATTAAACCTAATCTCTTTGTTTGTTTGTTTTTTTGTTACAGCAAGCACAGCTATTGGAAGCCTTGAACAATATTGAGTGGTAAACACATGTTAATTTTGAGTCACATGCTCTTTGCTTTTAGGAAAAAAAAATTCTGCATATTAGTCATATTATGACCTTTTTGCAGTCTTTCATAAATATAACGACCTTTAAATTATCCCGAAATATTACGACCTTTAAATTATCCCGAAATATTACGACTTCTGACCCTGAACTTCCATGAATTGGATAAAAAAAATCTGTAACGTGATTAAAAGGTTACCTTAAGACACGTGTCACATTGTGATAGGTTAGAAATTTTTATTTTATTTTTTTTTTGCAAAAAATTAATTTTAAATTAAAAAATAAAGATAAAAAAAAAAAAAAACCTTTCCCTTTGGTTTCTACAGTTTCGGGGGAGGGGATGGGTTCTTGTGTGAGTTTGGGGAAGGGTGAGGGACTTGGGTGGGGTGGGAATGGGAATGGGAATGGGAATGGGGATGGGGATGATAGGACGATGGTGGTAGAATGGTGTGTTTTATTTTATTTTTTATCGTATTTATATTTTTATTATTAAAATCATAATTTTTAAATATGAAAATTGTAAATAAGAGTACTTGACCAATTAAAAAGTGACACGTGTTACTCATAGCCTTTTTAGCGGGTCAGTAACCGGTAACATCCTATTTACGGAAGATCAGGGTCAAAGGTCATAATATTCTGAGATTATTAAGAAGTCTTATATTTATGGAAGACCGCTAAAGATAATTTTTCCTTGCTTTTATCAGCGAGGATTGTGTTATGAATGTCTAAGGGCCTGTTCTTTTTAGCAGAGAACAACTGAATTGAACTGAAAATAAGGTGAAGTGATGAGGCCCTAAGTGAGATACATTTAGTTATATCTCCTATAACCATAGAAATATGTGTTTTGTGCTTTTTCTATATTTAATTTTGTACATATATTTAAAGTTATAAGATATGTCATTTGTTTTCTCCGATCCAGGTATGTATCAGAGTCAAAAGATTGGATAGAAATGATGGAGATTTTCTCAATTTCTATTTTTTCTTATGGTGTGGACGGCCTTCGTTCAGGGGTGAAGGGAAAAATCCTTGTTTCAGATGAATACCAAGAATTTATTATCTTTGATGGATGCAAGGAGTCTGACATCTTACATTCTCATGAAACTAGTCTAAAATTAAAAGGCTCTCCAAGGTGTTACCACTAGTAGAAAAAATGCATTAGGCAGCGGTTCAAACCCGGTCTAAGGCACCGGTTTGAACCGCTGCCTATTTGAGGGGTGCCAAAAACCCCCTATTTGGCACCGGTTCAAAACCGGTGCCATAGGGTTTAATAGGCACCGGTTAACCGGTGCCATAGGGTAGATTAGGCATCGGTTAACCGGTGCCTAATACTGCTCTCCCGCCATTTTTTTTTTGGGTGGTGGATAGTTTAGGCACCGGTTCCTGCCTAACCGGTGCCTTTTGTATAATTTTTTTTTTCAATCGTGCAATAATATTTTGAAAAAAAAAACCCTGCAATAATAATACCCAGCAATTATATTAAATATAATAATTAATAATTTTATTATTATAATAACTAATAATAATATTATTAATTATTATATACAAAAATAATATTAGATACAAGAATTCAATTATATATATATATTGATATAAATATTCCCATACGCAATACAAAAAAAAAAAAAGTTGCTTACATATACAAATAATAGTAAGTATACATATATAATGAATAATAAGTTATATATAGTTTAAAAGTTAACATAAATAATTTACAATTACAATGCATGCCATTTACATGTTGAAGGTGATGAAAGACGCCAACATGTCACGAACTTCATTAAGCTCCTTGATTGTCAACGGACCATCCTTTTGGACCTTGCAAAACTTGAAATACAAAAACATTATTTTAAAAATAATTAATTAGGCAAAAAATATGTATTTTATCAAATATTACCTATACGACTTCTATATAGCCCATTTACTACATTACTTATCAAATGAACTATTTCTTTCTCATAACATTTCAATATTGAATAGTTGTATGTGTGTAAGCCCTAAAATTGTATAGGAGAGCATTTTATTAAGGTTTATGACGGTTTTTACCCAAAATGGCCCGAATATGGCCTATATGACCTTACTTTGCCCATTTCCTACATTTCTTATTAAATGAACTTTATTTATCTCATAACATGTCAATATTATCTAGTTATAGGTGTATAAGGAAAGAAATCACATTAAAAGAGCATATTAACACAAAATGGCCCTAATATGACCCATATGACTTCTATTCAACCCATTTTCTACCTTTCTTGTGAAATAGCTTTTTTGTTTCTCATAACATGTCATTGTTGGATAATATTAGCTGTCTAAGGCTAGAAATCACATCAATATAGCATTTCAAGAAGTTTAACAACGCATTTTACTCAACATGGCCCAAATAGGGCTTATATGACTCTATGTAGCCCATTTTCTACATTACTTATCAAATGAACTATTTCTTTCTCATAACATGTCAATGTTGGGTAGTTGTATGTGTGTAAGCCCTAAAATTGTATAGGAGAGCATTTTACTAAGGTTTACGACGCTTTTTACTCAAAATGGCCCGAATATGGCCTATATGACCTTACTTTGCCCATTTCCTACATTTCTTATTAAATGAACTTTATTTATCTCATAACATGTCAATATTATCTAGTTATAGGTTTATAAGGAAAGAAATCACATTAAAAGAGCATATTAACACAAAATGGCCCTAATATGGCCCATATGACTTCTATTCAACCCATTTTCTACCTTTCTTGTGAAATAGCTTTTTTGTTTCTCATAACATGTCATTGTTGGATAATATTAGGGGTCTAAGGCTAGAAATCACATCAATATAGCATTTCAATAAGTTTAACAACACATTTTACTCAACATGGCCCAAATAGGGCTTATATGACTCTATGTAGCCCATTTTCTACATTACTTATCAAATGAACTATTTCTTTCTCATAACATGTCAATGTTGGGTAGTTGTATGTGTGTAAGCCCTAAAATTGTATAGGAGAGAATTTTATTAAGGTTTACGACGCTTTTTACTCAAAATGGCCCGAATATGGCCTATATGACCTTACTTTGCCCATTTCCTACATTTCTTATTAAATGAACTTTATTTATCTCATAACATGTCAATATTATCTAGTTATATGTGTATAAGGAAAGAAATCACATCAAAAGAGCATATTAACACAAAATGGCCCTAACATGGCCCATATGACTTCTATTCAGCCCATTTTCTACCTTTCTTATGAAATAGCTTTTTTGTTTCTCATAACATGCCATTGTTGGGTAATATTAAGTGTCTAAGGCGTGAAATCACATCAATATAGCATTTCAAGAAGTTTTAGGACTTACCTCATCAAGCTGTTGAGTGTCCGTACAATGAGTCACAATGTCAAGCATGAATCTCATCACATACAAAGCACAATCAAGTCCATTCTCTTGTTGTGCGCACTAGCATATGACAAACAAATCACATCAGTGAAACATGCAAAGGAAATGAGCAAATATTTACTACCATAGATTTTCAAGATAATCACAATAATATCATGTAAATTACCAACGGTGTCTTCCATGTTGGACCCTTTGGAGCACGACAATGTAGCTTCTTCATAACACTGTAGTATAAAAAAATACAATCAAATTTGATTAGTCGTATGATTACTAAATTAGTTATTATTAGCAATAATCATCACTATAGGTTGCTGATAACTTGCTATTTGATATGATTTTAGGGTGTTTTGAACCTAGTTTACTTGATAAAATTTGCGTTTTGGTTCATTTTTACTCTATTATTATGCAATTTTTGTGTATCCTATGCTTCACGGGTTGTTGGTGTTTTTGTTGAGATTCTAGGTTCAAAAGAACGACCAAATGGAGCCCATGGATACAAAGCCGAGGTTAGAAGCAAGAAGATGGTTAAAAGAAGCCAAGGAAAGGAGCAATATAGAAGAAAAGATGGAAAAAAGGGCTTAGAAGACCCTGCACGGCCGTGCCAGACCTTGCACGTCCGTGCAGGAGTGCTCCAGAAACTTAGAACATTCTGCCAAGGCCTGCACGGACGTGCCAAATTAAGCACGCCCGTGCAGATGTAGCTGCACGTCCGTGCCAATATCTGCACGTCCGTGCGGAGCTGCTCGATTCTTAGCAGTACGTTCTGCCTCAATTCTGCCCCCTCTGCACGTCCGTGCCGAATCTGGCACGACCGTGCTTATGCTTGCACGTCCGTGCCGAATCTGGCACGTCCGTGCGGACCTGCAGTCAAGCCCGATTCTTGTTTTCTCCGTCCTTTTTATTTGGGGGTCTTATAAATACCCCCTTTGAGCTCATTTGTAGGGATTATGCAGTTTTTTTAGAGCTTTCTCTTAGTTTTTCAATCTTAGAACATGAAATTCTCAAATCATAAGTTAGTTCTTAATTATTAGCTTGGAATTATTCAAATTCAATCATTGTAGAAGACAAAGTCCACCATTGTTGCTCACCTTGAAGCTTCATAGTAACCATTTCTTACTCATCTTTTCTACTTCTCTTTACTTTGTTGTTAATTATTTGCTAGTTCTTGCATGTTTAGATTGTTAATTAGCTTAATCCTTAGTTTGAACTTGTTCATGAATTGCTTGAAATCTTTAATTGCTTTAACCTCCATGGATTGTGAGTAATCTAAATTCTAGGGTTTGGGTAAACCCTCAATGTAGTCACTAATTACTTGTTGCATGTGTTAATTTGGTTGTTGTGGGATGTTAATTAGTTGAGCTTAAGTGGTTTAATTGCTTAGTTCTTGTATATGGCCATTGCTAGAACTATTTATCCAAGCTTTCTCAACGAAGGATCGAGAGATGAACTTGAGTTAGCTCCCTTATGCTTGATTGACCCGAAATGCCATGAGAATAGGGATTACCGGTCAAGGGAATGTTTATGTCATCGTGATTATGCTTTAACACTTGTTTTATGCTATGTAACCACGAGAGTAGGTTGTATTCATGATTAAAGTAATCCCTCTAGCTTGAGAGAGTAGTTGGGTGCCTTAGATGACTTCCCCTAATTTATCCCATTAATTTACCTTGATTGTTGCATGCTAATTGTGATTTGTGATGAAATTGAGTGGTATAACCCGAGCCCTAGATTCCTCTTAATATTGTTAATCTCCTCTTAGCTTTAGTTGAGTTGAATTAGAAGAAGTTACTCAAAACCAACCCAATTTAGAATTCATTTAGCTTATTTAAACGGTAGTACTCGGTGGTTGATTCAATGCCTCTCTTGGGTTCGACCCTTTCTTACCCTTACTATTGTTAGTGAGACCAAGATAGGAATCATTATCTTTGGTAGGCTCGACGACGGCCTATCAGTTGCTATATATATTTACTTTTGCAATATAGACTTCACGAGCCACTTCTCCGATGATCGAGCTGAATCAAGGTGATAAATTGTGTTAGTGGAATTACAAATCACCATGAGGCTCCAATGCTCCCTACATAAGTTCACAATAGACAAGGTAATTAATATTTAGGAGTCAACATATAATGAGGCCAAATCGATTGAATTTGACATGGTTAGTCATACTCTCTATAACACGGGGCGAATATGAACTTGTCTCCCACACGCGTTGATTCCCTTATACTCTGTTCAACATAGTACAACACGTCATGGGGGTTGCCTATGATTTTAGTAGTGGATAACTACTCGGGGCATAACCACCCAACTTTACAAGGAGAATCAGTGTCAGTTAAGTGCTCCTGTAGTGCTCTGCGTGCATGAACATTGATTAATTTATCAGATGTAGGATAATCACCATCAATTTGAATAACTTGAAAAAAGTATGAACTTTATGTGGGCATTGAAGTACCTCATGAATGTTTGAATGAGGGAAATGTTAAGCTTTGCACCACGTAGAAATTCCTTCACATCTTCTTTGCTGATCCATGCAATTGCATCCTCATCATAGTGGAACATTGCCTTAGGAAGTGCAACTTCCATGGGATCGACCAAATGACAAGCACGGTTGTGAAGAAAGGTCATGTCAGTAGAGAGAGATTGAAGAACAATGTCTTCAACAATTGGAGTAGGTGGCTTGGGTGAACCTTTCGAAGAGTGCAACTTCGACGCTTGTTCACTCTTGGACTGTTGTTCACTAAGCTTCTTCTTAGGTTGATCAATTCTTTTAGGCTTC